AAAAAAAAAAAAACAAAAAAAAAACTGCTGCACTTAAGAATGTTCTTTTGTGTGATTCTGGAATTTTCTTTTCTTTTCTTTTTTGGTAATGGGGATCGAACTCAGGACCTTGCATTTGCGAGGCAGGCGACAAAACCACTGAGCTAAATCCCCAGCCCTTAATTAATAATGTTCTTAATGAAGGAACAAATATGGTTAATTTTATTAAATCCTGACCCTTAGTATGTACATTTTACTCTTCTGCATGACTAATCAGGAAGTATAAACTGAAACACTAGTTATCCTCTATTAAACCAGAAGTTAGATCTGAAAAAAAATGCAAAGACAATGCCACTTTTCTCATTAAATTTTTTCTACTGAAAAATTACTCTTGATAAAAATGTTATTATGTAATAGGTTTATTATGATTCAACAGATTAGTAAGTTTTTATGATTCAACAGATTAGTAAGTTTTTTGAAAGCTTATTTTAATTTTGAATCTCATAAATATAGACAGAGCCCATGGAGGAAAAAGTTCTTTGAAGCCCCCAATGAACAAAGAGCTTAAGACTCACTGTATTCCATTAACCTCTGGAGTTCATAGAGGAGATACACACACACACACACACACACACACAGATAGAGATAAGGTTTAATACTGTACAGTTGGGTCAGCCTGGATTCAATCTTTACCATGGAATAGGTCTAGAACTTCAACTAAAAAGACTTCTCTGAGCTTCAGTTTTTCTCTTTCACAAAATGGAACCAATATCTCCACATCCTCTGGGTTACTCCATGGATTACACTGTGTGAAAGGAACATCAAGTACAGTATACATTACAATGCCAAGACCAGTTACGTGGACAGAGAATCCACGTACAAAACATATGTTCTCAGGAAATGGGCCCAAGAATTTGAGGCAACGCTAAGTCTAGTAAACATATGTAATCACAGATTTAAAACCTAGACACATTTTCTGTAAAGTAGAAAATTAAAATCCAAATAATATAAAGAGATCTCAAAATTCTTCTCTTGCACAAAAAGCAGCTCAAGAGTTTTTCATTTGTTGCTGTAAAGATGCACAACAAAACTCTTAATGTGCTTGCATGTCAGCATTTCAAAGCATTCTATCTGAAGCATCTATGACTCAGGGTGGGTGAGAAAGAGGAAACTTAAAGAAAGAGAACTTTGAAAGAGATCATAGTAAGTAACTTGCTGGGGTTGGTACCTGCCTATAATCCTAGGATTCTAGGAAGCAGAGTCAGGAGGATCTGAAGTTTGAGCCCAGCCCAGGCAACTTAGAAAGACCCTGCCTTAAAAAATAAAAAAGCTATGGGGATGTAGCTCACTGTGAAGGCTCTTGGTTCAATCTCCAATACCACAAAACAAAAACAAAAACAAAAAAAACACAGTTCAGATATTCGCTATTTGTAAGAAAACCTCTGAGTGTGACTAGCTGCTTATAATTTAAATACACTCAACAGCACCTGGGTTATTACAACTATTTGCATTCTGCTTTGTCATACCATGCAAAATATCTTTGTATATGTGCGTGCATGCATGCGCACATAAATGTTTTAGTTTGCAAACACACTCATGCTTTGCACCACAACACCCTGAAAAATTACCTCAGATATAAGTAGCTTACAATCTTCTCATTTTGCTGATCATCTTTTATGTCTAGTTTAGAAACAAAGCAAAACATGCAAACCCAAGCATAATTCTAGCTGAAGCCAAAAACCCAGAAACTTCACCTGGAGTAGCAATCACTTTGAGTATCATTCAGAAAATTTGACTTCCAATTCAAAATTTTTAAAGTAATTTATAATAAAACTGCTATTTGTGTTAGTAAGTCACAATACAACAGGGGTTCACTATTTTCAAAAGGTATTTCAGAATACTGCCTGATGCACAGCAGGCACTCTGCAGTCTAGCCAGAGTTTAGCCACAGCAAACGTGGACATTTGGCAGTGCTACTGCCCTTCGTACCCACCTGGGCACAGCTGAGAACTCGGGCGGGTTTCTGGGAGAGCACAGGGGAGTTCTGTTACAGAGGGAAGCCGCTTTCTCATGCCAAAGTTCCATCAGCACTACTCAGGTCTTCCTCACACCTCTTATGTTGGGCTTTGTCTTTCCTAAACCTAATGCCAATAAGAAGTTTTTCAAAGAAAAAGACTGACGATGAAATAAAAGACTATCACAGGTGGTATACTACATGAAGAACAATACAGTAGAAAGAAGGCCAAGGGCACTCTAGAAAATAGGTGCCTGCTTCAGTATCAGCAGTCACAAGTCAAAAGATGGACTGATTTTCAATGATTTAAACAGAATAAAGCTCCAGAAAAATTTAATCCATGAGCTTTCGCTTACTGCCTTTCTTCTTTGATTCCTACTTTACCAATGAGGACATTAAAACTCTGAGGGGCTAAGTCACAGTCCTGAGCCAGGGTAGAGTTGGAAGCGAGGTCTCTGAATGTGTGCTCATTCCACTCTACCATTCTAGACTGCACAACTATTAAGTACAAATTCTCTGCAAATCATCAAATTTATCTAAAATTACATTCCAAGAAAATTTCAGGTGGACCGTGCTTACAATTAGGATGTAACTGAGAGACAATGTAGGGAATAACAATTTGTGGCATTCTGCAGGGCAAATCTCTAGGAAAACTCAGTTTTGATTTATATTTGTCTGATTATTCCCAGGGATCTTGTGATAAGAATAAAAACGATGATTGTGTTATAGATCAGGTGATGTGCTGACAGAGCAGATAGTATTCCTCAGTTACTCATTTCTATGATTAACTCATTTAATACCCAAAACAATCCTAAGAAGTAGGTGCTATTATCCCAACCCCATTTACAGGAGGGGACTGAAGGATAGAAAAGCTATGTCCCCAGGTGATAAGAGGCCGTTGGTCCTAAAAACCCTGGCAACTGGGCCCTGAGCCCAAGCTTTATCAGCAAATCGATCAGCAACTATTGGCTACAGCTGTTTTTGAGTCAACATTTAATAGAAAATTCTTACCTCTGGCTTGCTAAGGCTGGAAGAAACCAAGGAACCAGACCCCACGTCCAAATCCCATTGCTTTTTACCATGATTCTCAGCGTCCAAGGCAGCAATTCGTCCATCTAAAGTGCTGATAATTACTAATGATCTGTAAATTAAAAATGAATAGAACAAAATTAGAAAAGATAGCTAAGATTCTGTGCACTTATTCCATACATTGGAAGAAAACTAACCCCCACTAATAAGAGGGGAGCCCAGCTCCAACACTTAACACCACCATTTGCGTCTAGGTTGTTTGTTTTTTGGGTCGAGATGGGGTCTGTGTAGTTCATATTGGCCTTGAACTCACTATGTAGCCCAGGTTGGCCTCAAATGCAGTGACCCTCCTGCCTCAGCTTCCCGAGTGCTAGGCTAACAGGCATGCACCATCAGGCCAGGCTCACCATCTGTCACTAGACCAGGAAGGTTTCAATATGCTCTTAAACTGTTTATTGCATGTACAGCAAGTCCCAGATTCCCCTTGTTCCACATCCAAATGCCTATGAGGAGCTCAACATTCTCTGCTCTGTCCTCGCCTACCTTTCCCACCTCCTGAAAGTCGAAACACAGTCCTTCCTAATCTTAACTTACCTCTTTACTCTCACTGAAACGGGGCTTCACTAAGGGGTATTCCTTCTCTACAGAGGCAAAGGGAATTTTCCACTCCTATAACCCTGGACTCCTGGGCCCAGGGATGGAGTGGGTGCACTCCTTGTCTCTTCCCAGCCATTTCTTAACCATTTTCCTTCTCTCATTGAAAATGCTCAGTATCAGACTGTTTCATCCAGATCCCCTCCAGTCATTATGTACTGAACCTTAGGTTAGTCCAGAGCATTTCAGCAGCTTCACACACTTCTACCTCAGTTATGTTTTTCCCTTATCTACCTCCCTTAGCCACCTGCTATGCCTTGTGTCTAGATGTCTCCTCAAAGCCTCATGCAGCCATAGGTGGGGCTTTTCAGAGATGGCTGGACCTAGAGTGTGACTGACTCATGATGCAATGCTAGGATTAAGGGTCTGTTATTACTAAATCAGTCCACTGATTGGTTTGGCACTGCCCTAATTGTAGTTGCGCAGCATAAAAAATGGGCAGAAAGAAGCTATTAGGGTATCTTGCTCCTGCCCACCATAGACTGTTTCTCCTCGGTGATGCCCCTCTGTCATGCCACTCTGCCTTGGAGCCAGCTGATTATGGACTGACACCTCTACAAACTGTGAACTAAATAAGCCTTTCCTCCTCGAATTTTGGGTATTTTGTCTCAGTAAAGAGAAAAGTAACTAAGACACCATTCCTGTGATCAAACCCTAGGCTTATCTTCATCAGTAGCAACCTCCCTACTCATTGAAATTTTAAGCATTCCACCCCCAGACACCAAGGTCTCTTTTTTCAGCTCAGTCCCTCTGCCTCCCTGACTCCCACAAATCTCTGACCAGAACCTGCAAGTCAATGATCCTAGGAGTTTCACCACCATCATGTTCTTACTTCTTTCTTACCTACTGTAAACTCCAGTCCCTCACCCTATCCTAAGCACTAGCTTGCATCCACCCTCAAGTCCCTCTGCCCTCCTTCACCTTCACAGTGGACTGGAAGGACTCCAACCCTGGTTAAATCCCATTTCTCCACTCTCCCACACCTGCATCTGTGCAAGTGAACACAGCTGGAGAAAAACATAGTCCCACGAACTGTTCTCACGTTAACTCATGGCCATGCCCTTGCAAAGGCCATGAGTGATGCTCAGCAATCAGAATGTGCTTCCTAGTCTACACCCTATCTCAGGGAATCTAAGTTAGTTACCTCATTTCTCCTCTCCTTAAACTTGATGCCAGTTCTTCCAAGCTCACAAATCTCAGTGGCTATGCTTCCCATTTTACTAAGGAAAAGAGAGGTAATCACAAATTTGCTTCCCACCACCACAGCTGTCTAGTTATCCACACCTGGACTGACAAACGCTGACCTCCCGCTGACAGTGCAGGGAGGCTGTCCAGTGTCACATCCACTCCCAACTCCTCTCCATCAGCAACAGAGCTCCCCACACGCACACGTGAAGACTTGCTCCTTCCTGCAAACACCTCCTCTTACTGCACATCATCAAGTACTCCCTCTCCTGCAGCATTCCCTGCAGCACTTGCTCTAGATTCAGTGAAAAAATGTGTTGAAAGCTAATTCCCAATGAGGACTTAAGAAGTGGGGTCTTTGGGAGATGATCAGGTCATTAAAGTAGAGCCCGCAGGAGTGACATCAGTATGCTTATAGAAGTGGCCCCAGAAATTCCCCCAACCTCCCATCACGTAAGGACAGAAATAGAGGAACAGGCCTCATGAGACACTGAATCTGCTGGTGCCTTGATATTGGATTTCCTAGCCTTCAGAACAATGGGAAATAAACTTTCAAGCAACCTAATTCATAGAATTTTGTTATAGAAGGTTGAAGAGATAAAAACAGCATCCCAAATTGTTATTATTTCCCCCACTTTAAAAACCAAACCAAGGATGGGGAGGTAGTTCAGTGGCACAGCACTGCAAGCACAAGGCCCTGAGTTCAATTCGCAGTACTCAAAAGCAAAACAAAACAAAACCCCTAAAAACCCAACCATCCAGGCATGATTGCACAGGCTTGTAATCCCAGGCTGGCAGGAGGATCACTGCAAGTTCAAGGCCAGCCTGGGCCACATAATGAGACCTTGTCTCAAAAAAACCAAAAAAACCTAAATCAAAACAAACCAGACCTTAAAAATACATAAATAAATCAAACCAGTTCTAACAAACCACTGTCCCTGCTGTAGCTCCCAATAGAGGTTGTTGCATATTTTCATGTCTCCAAATCCTCTCCTCCCCACCTGTCCTGCACTATTTCTAATAGCATTTGGTGGTATCACCCTTCCAAAGCAGCTCTCATTAGACACCAATGACATTTCCATTGATAAATATGGGGTCCGCCTGGGGTCTCACTTCCTGATGGTCCACAGCATCCAACCAGCTACCTCTCCCACCCTCCATAAAACAAACTCTGCTACACTGTACCTCCTGAGTGTTTCTTTTGTTTCTCCTACCACTGCTCAATCCTATGCTTCTTTCTCAGTTTCATTTTCTGGTTCCTCTTCATCTTTCCTCTCTCCTAAAATAGTCTATATCTACATGTCATTTTCTTTATGAACTCATCCAGTCTCATAGCTATAAATACTCTATGTAGATGCTGGCAACTCCCAAATTTATAACTGATTCCAGGCCTCTCCCTGAGCTGAGGGACGTTCATATTTAAATTCCTACCACATTTAAGTTGCCGAACAGACTTCTCAAAGCTCACAATATCCCAAATCAGTACCCGCTTTGGGGATGCCCTCAAATTTTCAAACATATACAGGATTCTCCCACTGCAGGGCCATGCAGCCCATTCAAGCAGGCTCTCCAAAGGAATTTGTTAAATCAAGATGAGTCAGTCAGTTGTCCTAGGAATTTGTTAGGCTTATTTGTCTGTTTTAAAGACCACACAAATTTTAACCATGTGTAATTATGGGGATGCTAAGGATTTTAAACTGAAACTTTATGTCTTCCATTACACTTGATCAATGAATCAGGACAATTAGTTCAGCTAAATCTATCTGAAACCTTTCAAAGAACAATTTACAAAATAAACATAAAATCATTAATTTTATCACTTAATTTCCATACTATACATACACTAATTCACATTTTGAATTTTTCAAGTGATAATCTAGTCTAATTTGTGAAAAGAAAGACTTTGCCACACTACAAACTCTTGTAAGTTAGATGACAAGCCACAGAAAGACAATAGCCCCTCCCCACAAGGTGTCCTGCTTCCTGATTAAATCTAACATGAGCAGGAGGAGTAAAAGAATAGCCTGAGTAAGAAAACTGTTTTATAATGAAGAGTATAAAAATTCAAAACAAAGTCATACTTTAGACATGTCTCCAAACAAATAAAAACAGAATCTAGCCAGGGATTTAGCTCCGAGGCCTGCCTCGAAAATGCAAGGGCTGGAGTTCGATCCCCAGTACCAACAAAACAAAACAAAACAGAATCTAATCAAGTTAGAGACCAACAGTTGAGTCAAGTTAACTTTCCTCTAGTCCTATTATAGAAATGCTATTTGTTCTGTTCAAATATCATTAACCACAAATAAAATGACCAAATTAAAAAAAAAAACTTCAGTTGAAACAAAACTTCATGTAAGCAAACAGTGTTAGCCCATGAACACTTAAGGAGACCTTTTGAACACTTTAGATACAATTTTTCAAAAAATTCAGAACCAACATTATTCATTTATTACCCTGGTATTCTATTTACAACAACCAAAGAAGCTGCTCTTAAATCTGTTCCTTTTCCATTAGCACTGCCACAGCCCTGGGAGATTCTTTCTCATCACCCTGAACACCTTGTAAAGTTCTCTGACATATTTGCCTGCCTTATGTCTCTTTCTCGTTCTTCCAATCTCTTGCTTCTTTTTTGTGTTTGGGGTCTCACTCAGCAATTCAGATTGGCTTGAACACACAGCGGATCCTCCTGCCTCAGCCTCCCCAGAGTACTGGGATTACAAGGCATGCACCACCATGCTCGGCCACAATGGTCTTGTTTCCACAGAAACAAAAAGCAATATGTGCACTCTGCCTAGTATGGCATACCTTTCACAGCCTGGGCTCAGTGTTCTTTCCCAGTCTCACGTTCCGTCTCTTCTGTCCTTCACCCCACTGCAACACACACTACCCACTCCAGGTTTCTAACCTTTCCAACGAAGTTCTTTTGTTCATTTATATTTTGCTCCATGTCTTAAAATATTACACTTGCCAAAGGAACACTTCTTTTAATGAATTTTCATCTTTAAAGGAAATACTTAAGAATGAATCTAAGTGTACAGGATTTTTGGGAAATAAATAAGTATAATTATTATCTAAGGTTTGATATAATACCATTCAAAGTAAAGAAATATGATTTTAAATTATCTTATTAAATAAATGCTCCTTATTAAAAATACTGACAGTCTCAGTGTTGTTAGTGTAGCTCAGTGGTACAGTACCTGCCTAACAGGTACAAGGACCT